CGGTCGCCGAGTGCATTTTCCTGACTCCCCTATCAGCCGTGTATTTTGACATCACATTTGCCCATCGGCCTCATTTTCATGCTGGCCTTCGCTCTAGGCGGGGTTACTACGACAATCATTTTGTTATACTTTTTTATAAGTGCATAGCATCTATAGTTATTAAGCTTGTTTGACATCTTCTAACCTTGTCCATATTCGTCGTGTTTCAGTCAACGCCTATTAACGGTTACGCCTGGTGTAAGTTTCGGCTTCATTTGCGGGTGACAAGTCAAAAACAGTATCTTCTTAACCTCACGGACGTCAACAAAATTAAGGATTGAAGAAGAGGAAACGATCGCCGGGACAAGAGCTTTATTAGCCTGACGTTTCGGATTCCTACTCGAATCCATCATCAGAGACAAAAGAGCAGAAACAGGTAGCTCTCAAGTAGCGTGGAGTCGGCCTATCAACCGCTATTATTCGCTAAGGTATGATTAAATACAGCAGGGAATGACTGAACTCAGTCACCCTGTATGTGCAATTCAGGATGGAGCTGAAAAAGGAAAACAGACTGCATTTCCAGAAGACATCGCCATTCACAAAACCGATAGCAAGGTGGTGATAAAGATACATAAGTATTTACCCAATTCTTTACAAATGGTATACGTTCCGCCGCAGATACGGCCGAGTGGCGAGTTTCGTACACACGCTTGGCTTGCAAGAGGAAAATCCTCGCATCAGGGAAGCCGCTAAACTAGATACGATTTTAGGAGCTCTGCAGAATTGACAGACATCCATGGGCACCTTTTAAGGGGTACCGAAGTAAAGATCCCCAACGAACTCAATGCAGCCAAATGATAACGAGGCTAGACCCCTTGCATCACTCAAACTGGGAGTAATGCAGGCTTGCTTAAAAACGCCGCTGACAGGTGACATGCAAAAAACTCTCTTCACAACATCCCGGAGTCATCCATCGCCTGTTGACGTCGGTGTAGCTACAAAGAAGACGACTACACGGAAGAAATATGCAGACAACTACGGACAAAGATGGAGGAACACCAAACGGCGGTGTGGGGGGTCGGATCTGAGGTCAGGACTTTCAACGCATACCACCCGAACGAAGCGTAGTTCCGACCTTGGCACTGTCTCTGTGACGGATCATGCTGTTGACTCAACGACGGAGCAAATAAGGAAGCGTGACTGTCAATCGACCGACCAGTCTCACCCCCCCCCCACCTGCCTGTATGCTGTCCACGCACCCTCGCGTTGCTATCTGTCAAACAAGCTAAAATGCGTATAGGGCGTGGGACGCCCTAGCTCAAATTATTGTCTAAATCAACGATAATAGGCATCAAAGTGACCACTGCCGAGCAGAGATGCATGACTCGCCCACAGCATGCATAAACAATCTACGCAATAGTCATGATGATACGTGTGGACCGCGGGCTCTATAGCGCAAACTGGGTGTAAGACTTATTTGCTTCTGAAAATGATTGGCCGAATTCGCAAATGTTAACGCCTGCCCACAAACACATCTCCAGATGAACGTTTCTGCCACCTGTTCTACGAGTTTTCTCTTGCTCTTTTAGAGGTGGGACCATACCCCCCATATTCAGGTATTCTGTTTTGGGATTCGTGGTGGAAATCTTAACAGCTCAGTCTCGGCCGGGGGGGGGGGCACGCGACGACCGGCATCAGCACGTGTGCCAACTAAACCAAATATCCATCAAGTAGCTTACACGAGTCGGAGAACATTTTCACATCAGTTATGATTAACCATGCATAGTTGTCAATGAATGGCTAATGAGGAAACGTGGCGCGAGTAAGAACGTGTTAGCGTCAAACGTCCGTGAACATAAAGAAAAACTCAGCACACGAGGGGCAGATATTCAAGCAGGGTACGCGAGCACCAACACGGCTGGTCTGACGCTAACCACAAAGAGTCAAAATACGGCTAAACTCAGATTGTGTAGGCGATTGGGTTGTGTCACAAGTCATACACTGCGATCACTTGGTCCTTCGACACACACACAGCCAAATGTACTCACTCTCTGAAGGCTTTGCTTTTGTAGGTGTGATCAGGTGGCTGGAACACGTTCGAACCACAACTTCAATCTTCTAGGCGATTGCCTCGCGCAACTCGACGACCTGATTTCGGGAGTTTTCGAGTACGCAGTGACAGACCGGACCTGAGGGGTTATCGTAAAATTTATCGACCAAGTACTTCCCCGCGCGTCGGGTTCTCGATGGATTATGAACAAGTAGCCAGGTCGTAGGATGAGCCTTGTGAGCAACACGGCGAAGGCGTGTAAGCTACAAGGAGCACTTTAGCACATCACTCAAGTCAATCAATAAAAAACTGCTACCTGAGACATGTCCCCAAGACAAGACTTTCTGCTCGATTGAGAGAGCGATTACATTTGAGCAGGTTAAAGCCCACACTTAAATCCCTAAAGTCAGAAGTTGTCAGCTACGTGCCATAGATTAGGTAAACGAAATCTACCAGGGGATGCTAAATGCCCTGGCTTGGAGGGTTGCCAACTGACGGGATAACTTGGACCCCGCAGCCAGCCCAGTGTGCGTGTGCGTGCGGCGATAATACACTAGGCCCGACTGGGCACTGATCTGGCGAATAAGTTACTTGCTCAGACGTCACAGGCCATAGTGGTACAACGAATGATGAGTCCATCCAATAAAGCTACACCCGTTACCGTCCGGCACAGTCCTTGAATCCTAAACTGGCACGTCGGAGGAATATATGCAGATATCTACCGCTGACGGCCGGAACTACGGGAGAAAATTAGTTAGCAGAGTCGCTCCATAAAACTGTTGTCCTACGAGTAAAGACTTCACCGGGTTTTCGGCCCACCAGGGCACTATGCTAGACGCGACGGGGTTGGATTTAGTGTGGGCCAGCGACACAGGAAGGAAAAACTCCCTGCCCAACAATAACAGAAGCGTCCGCCTTGGCTACAAGCGCCCGCAGAGAGTTTCCAGTCAACGAAACTGGAGTGTGGGAACGGCCATTCCTATTCTTGTTGCTTTCATCAGTTGTACTTTCCAAGCACCGATTACGTGTACTACAGACCCAATAGATCCGTGAGCGTCGTTCCTATGTGACCCTCCCCCATACACAGCACGCGCCGAAATGTGTGGAACACAGAGACCCTTCTGAGTGCTTTCATGCAGAAATAATTATTCCAGTGCGTTTGCAATGCCAGTTAGAGTGGAACAATAGGTCAAGTTAATTCATGGGAAATAGTTCAGCAGGTCTTATGTCACCAAAGTAAGTTTCAGTAGGGGAGAGAATCATTACTTGGGTAGTGTGCATTTTTCGGTGCAGTATCAGTACTTGTATATATATTCACCATCCTTCGTTCCACCTTGCTGTGGAGCTCGCGGTGGACATCGTCGGAAATGATGTAAATCCATAAAGGATGTACAAAAAGTATCTAGTCTGGCATTTCTTCTAGAAAAATGAAATCCCTAAATTTATTATTTAAGAGGGGAGGTGAGTTTAAAAATTTTGCTGAACTCCGCATATCTCGGAACACAGCCTACGCTTTTACGTGTTCTTACGGCCCCAAACTTATATGATGTGTACTTTTTTCTGGATAAATTTTAATAATTTTGATGTTTCTACGAGAACGTCTTTTGGAGTATGTTTAACATTACAACATACGAATTTAGTTTTATGCTTGGAGAGCGGCAGTAGCAAACCCGCGGACAGTAGGCTCCACACGTACTCATACGTTTCGTCTGTACTGATGATGATGATGATGGTGATGGGGGAGGTGATGATGATGATGATGATGATGGTGGTCTAATGGGAAAGTAGTAAACAGACGGCTCTGGACTAATCAGAACAACGACAAAGTAAAGCTTCGAAAAATTAAATTTTTTAATTATGTACAGCGATCAACGTGATTGTAGGTATAAAAGTAGACAATCAGAGATCCGGCACATATGCGACCCCTTCCGTGAGCTGAAATCGGGAAAAAGAAAGATAAATGACATGGGAGAGAAAAAAGGACGTACCTTTTCAACAATGGTCTCGATGGCTGCAACGTGACGCCGGGCCTTATCCTTGATGTCTGCCAACAGCTTCTCCTTTAGGGAAAGTTCGCGACGCAATTCGCTGATTTCCTGGAATAACGATTTTGAAAATAAGAACAGGAAGCCTACGTCGGACAGCTGCAAATGGGGAGCCTTGGTGGATAGGAGTAGGCGATGTTTCACAAACCAGGAGTCCAGAGCCCGGCAGGTGTCAATTAACAGGACAATCACCTTGTCACCTAAGACGGAAAATAGGTCACATTTCAGTGCATTTTAACCTTTATAGAGCCTGTACCGACCGCGTTCCAAAGGCAAAAGTAGGCAAGAACGACGGGAGCTAGACCTGATGGAAGTGTTTGACCGGACAGCAGTCCTCCGTTGGCAATGCACAACGATTTAAAATATGCGACGTTCAAAGGATGTGACTAATGTTTAGCCTGGTGACGTTAAAAATACGAGTTAGGTAAACCAGAGGATATAGAGACCTTTAGGGAGGTACAGGCAGAGTTTTAGAGAAGAACGTAGCAAAAAGGCTACATGCTAGATTTTTTCAACTAAAGCCAGTCAAACAAAATCCGGAGCACTCACCAAAACGACACTCGGGAAAGTCAGATTCTGAGGAGAGGTCACTCGATGAGAGAGTAAGGAAGACGTTCTAGTAAGGTAAACAAGGATAGGGGAGGCTCACATCGCACTGCCGTTCAAATTCCTTCCAGAGTAAAGCGTCTCTCTCTTGAACCATATTTAATGAAAAGGATGGCAGGTCTTTTGAAGCGGGCAATGAGCAAGACTGTTGGTTTCGAGATTTTCCAGATATCTCAGAGAATCACTAACAAGCAAACCAAATCGAAATAAGTTAGTCGAAATGAACGCACGAGGAGCACACAAGGCAGAAATTCAGGACGGCGAAAACACGACCTACGGCTTTCCTGTACTAAAATTTCAACCGTGACTGAGTCAATCTAGGAGTTAAATCAATTATTTGCCTGAAACCGAGAGACGGATACTGAATACATTGTCGGTAATTGCAAGACTGGCTAATGAAAGTGGCAGGCGAGCAAAGTGGGCGGACGATCATTCGATTGCGGAGCACCAAATAAGCCTCAAATGAGACCGTTAAAACCTGCCATGGGAGCACCGAGTGGATACCTCCGACCACTGCAGAAGGAAGAATAGCTTGATGCAGACATGCTGGTTTTCGCCATTCTTGTGTACAGTTCCGCTGACCTAAAGTTGATGCCACTGCTTGACCGGAGACAACGAAGAGCCTAGCGCAAAACCTGGTCCGACGCAGTTCGCCAGGACATGGGAAGAAGAGTGGGTGGAGCTCACTAGATCCTTTGTGGCTGATAGTAGCGCATACAATCAGTGACATCATTGAGATCGGGTAGATTGACGGCCTGACCGTCGCAAGCGACGACGTTCACCGTGTGCTCCACAGGGATAGACATAGCATCGGCGACTTGCGCGTGTATTCGTTTATAACGAGGTGGACTTGTGCGGCATCTAGTGCCCACCTCCTTTGCTCCGATGACAAGACAACATCAAGACGACCAGAGAAGGGCTCAGACGCAGTGGCTGACGAGATTCAATTCCCGTTCCGCTTGTGGTGTCCAACCCCACGAAAAAGGAGTTTTACATCTTGGCTTTGGGGCCTTTGTGAAGGATTGTAAACGACATACGCCGGTTCGACAGTTCATTTCGATGCCTGTTCGACTCTCTCGGTAGGTTTTCGCCCGCATTGCGGACGAGACCGAATAGGATTAGGACAAGCGCACAAACTGTTACCGCAATGACCTCCAGTGTCGAGTCCCTGACCATCACACGTCCCATCATGTCGTCACAAAGTTGCATAACCACCAATGTCGGCACTTCCGGACGCCCCAGCTTCATCATTAGTTTCCAGGGTCCGTCTAGGCTTGCCGTGTCGAAAGCTCTGACTGGGTAAACGAAGCTGGCTAGTATTTCTTCTGCAGTAACCGACTTGAAAAGGTCATATAGGGGGCCATACACCGTTCATTATATTAACACTCATTGTCTGGAGGGGACACTGATCAAGGTATAAATCCCGAATATTGATTACTATCTGGGTTGGAGAGTTTGTAACAAAAATGAGAAGGGAGTTCCTCTCGTGGTCGCAGATGTGTCAGTTTCCTCAGCGATTTCTATTGGCTAATAAAGGTTGCATCCTTCAATGTTTGCCGGAGCTGCTCTTGTTGCCATGTCGTCTGGAGCATTGAATACGATTGTCCGTGGGTTGACGACAACTGTAACTAAACATTTCAACCCACGCTGAGTTAGCGTCCATAAATTTCCCATTGGATAGCTATACTGTCCAGACAGTCTCTTTCAGGGAGAGGGGAAGATAGGCGACCGAGTTCGTTACCGAATCCCATTTGGGATGTTTAGCGACAGCTCCCCTGCAGATTTAAATTGCTCGGCCAACGCTGTGCGATTTGTGACTTCTTTATCAGTAGTATTGTTGCTGAAGTTAAGCTAGGCAGGGGATGAATCCAGTGAGTTAAGGACGGCAGAGTGGCTTGATAACCGTGAACAAATTCCCCATGTCACCTCAATTTGTGTATCGCTATATATAATCAGCTTTTATGGTTAGTTATCTAGCCATCGTCTCCCCCAGCCGATGTAACGATTCACAACGCATCGAAGGAATGCTACTTCGTTCTCGGCGGTGTTATTGCTTGTATAGCCCGCGTGGAGTCCGTCTTCTCGCGGAGATCGTCCATTACTTCTTCATCATTTTTTCAAACCAGTTCAGGCGTTTTGGCGTACAGATGCGACGATTTCCATGACAGTGCTTTGGATGACATTCCAGTCTGTGCATCTGCCACCCCTTGCTGCAGGGTCACCACTTGCAGAAAAGTGGACTTGGGTTTGAACGCGACGAAAACACAAGTGCAGACCAACAGCTCTACGCGTCAAAAAACGTTATTTCACACCTATAGCGACGAAGGATTCGAGACTCCTGAAGGTTTTGTCTGTTTCAGCTCCTGGGTGTGGCGGGCGCAAGTTTCAGGAGGAAATAAAACGCAACATCCAATCCGCATGCCGCCTCGACGCAAGGTCCAGTGGGAGACGGAGAATGGAGCTTATGAATCAACAAACAACAACGACCTGTCATATGACCATAGTGTGAGGACCGCGCCCTGGTGACTTGTGAAAAATGAAAGTAATAGGCAGTCCATTCTGTTTCAAATGATGCGCCGAGTGTCTAATGAGTTCTTTACTCGTCGATTTAAGACAACTGACGCTCCATTGAGAGGTCGCGGTCTTAAATGGTGCCATCAGAGGCTTCATCAGCCTCAGGGCAGACCCGTCGCTTGCCGACCCTCAGGTGACGAGGCTAACCGGCGAATCAAGTGGATGTGGTTAAGATGGATTCTAATTTGATACTAGTTCCCACAATTATCAGCGTTTAGGGCTAGACCGTCGGGAAAATGTATCCTAAAGAGATTACAAAGAATGAGAGGTACGAAAACTTCACTGACGTGAATCAGTGAAATCCTGAAGTTCCTGGGAGTCGAGAAAACTCAAAAAGTGTACATGCTCAAAACATGCCATCCTTCAGTGAGCATTCTTCTTTAGTTCCCCACACCAAAAGAGCGCCGGCTACACGCCCCATTAGCCCAATTAAATTGCAAAGGACAACCAGACTGGTCGAAAAAGAAGGGATTTCGATTTATAAAACAAAAAGACATTTTTCTGAGGCGGGTTTTGAAGTTGCATGTGATTCTTCCATCGCCTGTCTGGTAGTGTCTACTTCCGTTGCAACATCTCCAACCAGTCAATTTACTGAACTCACCGGCAGGGTGCCGGGAAAAAGGTTCGTTTTTGGTGTTACTTAGCACAATGTGACCTTGAGAAGACCGTCTGCTGGTCGTAAGCCTGTCTGCAACCATGACCGACCTAAACCTCTAGCAGCTACCTCCAACAGATAATCTCATCATCAAGAAACGCGAAAGAACTGCAGAGTTGAGCACCGCGAGCTACTGCTTTTGACACCGAAAGGACTTGGCAGCGAAGCCTCAGTCGTACGCATGCACTCCCTGTCGAAGCTTGTGCTTGCCATATTCGGTAACACGACCGTGCGACCGGGGCCGGTGTGAACTGCCTTCCAGT